CAAAAGATATGCCTAATATCAGCAGATATGATCTTTGCTAGTATGAGTACCTACCTCAGAGTTCTCAAATTCATGGTTATTGTGTTAGATAAGTTTGAACACAGAATTTCCAGTTCATAGCTGCAATGAAATGTTTACCATGGCAAACGCGCCCACGGGCTTTTCAAATTCGTTCTGTTGGGCCACCATCTATCCGGTAAGCAATAGATTAGAGCAGCATAGGACATTAAGAATTAACAAGAGACAAGAATCTTGTATTCCTATGTTTATGGTAGCAAGCCCAAAAAAAAAATTATTCATAACACGGTCGTAAGTCTGTGAGTGTGTCACACACAATCAACATTGACAACATCTCAACAGTCAATTCTGTCAGAAAGTCAGTAAGTCAACAGCCAATAATACTGATACTGTCAATGCTGATACTGATCTGATACAATACTGATACTGTCAATACTGATACATACAATACTGACTACTGTCTGATACAGCCACAGCCACACTCCTACGGCACAGGCACAGTTCCACGGGCACGTAGAGTCGTAGAGCGTGTCAATAGTAAAATGATGGTAAATAAACACGAAATGTATTTAATACCAAAGTCTTGATGTTTCTCTACTCTCCTTCGCCTATAATATATATATTAGTTTTATTACTATTATTAATATTACTATCATTAGCAATAGCCTACTAATAATAATACTAATAATTTCTGTATGAGTTCCTGTGAATGCCTTTCAAATGCTCCTCTGCAACATCGGACGAACGCCGCTAGCTGTGCACAAACGGCAAGAGTAAAGAGTCATTCTTGTTCTTCTCTTTTCTAGTTTTTCTTTATTCTTGTTGTTTGTGCGCGGTGGCGTTCGTCCGATGTTGCAGAGGAGTATTTGAAAGGCGTTCACAAAATCTAATAAATGGATTCTTTATCCAGTATTACTATTAGCATGGCAACATCAAACAAAGTTGGTGGGCCGAAGCAATGCAGAAACCATCGTGGATCAACAAGTTCACACAGCAAGTCTGCTGGGGTTGCTCTGGGTGGTGTATGTCGCTTACCACCGATACCCAAGACTTCATTCTGTAAGCCAGACCCCTATGCAAAAAGCTCTCTTCTCAAGTTCCGCATGGCCCGATACAAGCGAGAGCAGCTTCTTAATGTGCTGTAAGTACTATCATACATTTAAACCCTTTAAAAATGATTAGATCTATTTAAATGCCTCGATCTATGTTATTAGTACGGAATTATATTGACTTTGTATTCATAGTTAGGTACTGCTCTGTTGCATAGTAGATTTGTGTCGTTGTGAGAATTGTTCAAGCAAAATTTAATTGACATAGCTGAGATGTCGTACTCTGATAATAACAAGGTTTAGTATCCAGATCAGTTATTGTTTTTTATTCTTTTAGAGGAAAATTGCTACTATCATATTCATTTCTGGACATACGTGTAATTGAGCGAGCAACATATAGCTCTGCGTTATCTTTCGACAGGTTATAGACGCACCTGGCAAGACTATACCATCTGTGAAGATTATTTACTCGTGAAAATCTCATCTGATATTTTCCCAGAAGCCATAAAATCTAATCCGACTTGGATCCACACCCATGGACCTCGCCTATAGCCTTCAGATTATAGTTATATTTTTCATATTATGATAGTATTCCGTTATCAGGGAAATTACACTTTTATAACTCTGTTGTTACACAAGCCACTTGAGTACATTCATGTACAGGGTGCGAAATTAACGCGAGTCCGGAGTCAAATACTCCCTGATTTACTGTCAAACTCCCTGATTTGACATATGCAGGAGTCCGTGTGACTCCCTGAAAATTTTACCATACTAACAAGTTCGTTCTAGAGCACGGCCTCGTGGAATTACCGTATTTTTTCAGCAAATGTCCAAAGAAAATTTGGCAGACGTGCAACCGCATGAATCTTCAAAATAAGCACATGCGTTCTTGTAAATATCTTTAATTTTGAACTTCAGACTACGGACTCCCTCATTTTGCTGCGGACTCCCTCGTTTTGAGGGCAGGGAGTCCGTTGGACTTCCTTCTTACGGACCCTTGATGTATATTTCTACATTTTCTACCCCTGATATAGCAAGGAGAGGGCGTGGAGAGATTACCAGGTGAGCGTAGAGAATGCGAAAAGGCGACCCAGTACTCCTCCTAGACCACTCTTCCCCTCGTCAATGATGAGCCGCGAGAGAAAGCTGCGCCTCAACTACGAGCTGATGAAAAAATGCGTCGAGAAGAACCCGATCCCCCCTATGCAGCCAGAGTGGTTTACGGCTATTCTGCGCCTCATTCCCAACAACTTGCGAAGCTCTGCCGAACTCAGGGTAAGTTATATGCCATGGTTGACATGTGTTAGTTGGAGAAGTAAATAGATGAATATATGTGTGTACCTGTGCGTGTGCATACTGAAGTGAGTGTTGTGTTTGTGTCAACCTTATGAATAATTTTTAATAACATTAATCGAATTTGATAAATAATTGCAATATTTTAATAAATAAGAAAAATCTTCCTTTTCTCACCAGGCACTCAAGTTTCAGTTAGCTATATATTTTCAAATTATTTCGTTGTTATTACCAAATTTAATAATGTATATATATATCTATTTATACACATGAGGTTTATTTTGGTAAAGGGGACAAATAATGCCAATATAAATAAATTAATATATATATACATATATTTACACATTATATATATATATTATATATATATATATATACACACATTTATCGTCGCCTGTGACATGTCTTTTGCACGATAAAGGCGTACATCGAGGTCCTGTTCGAGGAGATTGGGGACGAATATGTGCGCAGCATTCGTAAGGGAATCGTCAACCAGGTCCTACTAAAGCCCTCTGAGAAGGCGACCGATGGCGGGACACCACGGTCAGCATGCACGTCGGAGGCACTAAATTCTGAGAGGTAAGCATCTTGACCTAGTCAATTGACCTATCTGTCTGGCAAGATTCACAGACAGCTTCAACCAATCATTGTTGCGAGGGGACATTCTGAAAACAGTGCTTAGTGACAGGATGCCGCAAAGTCCACGTTTTCGGAGCTTAATCACGCTGTCTGTCTCAGTGAGGTTCAAGCGAACCCTTGGAACAAGAGCTACAGGAAAGCTCGTGAGAAAATCCGGAAGAACCTGTACATCCTCCATCCGACGATGCTGACCGTGTTAAGGATGTGTCAACACAGCCTCGGAGACATGCTCGTAGACTGCACCCACTTCAGGTATCAACAACAAGCGCGGGAGCTGCCCAACGCACAACGCTACCGCATCTCGTAGCCAATTCATAGATTTACGTGATAAAATAATGTCTGTGTGCCGGTATTTAGTGTTAAATGTTTTACACGGCCCACTATGTAACGTGTAATTGGGGTCTGTCGAATTATAGAACGTATATTTATATCGTCTTGATTATATGGAGCAGATTAAATGTCTATATTTTCAATTTTTAGCTTGATTCGTTTTCATTCACATAATATTACTGTTCGTATAGGGCTAAAGGTGCTATTGAGATAGACAGCATGAAGAACACCATTCTCTACGAGATGGAAAAAGCTGAGGAGAGGCTAATGCATGGGTATTTTTCTTCTCGATACACAACCCCGCGATCTAGAAATAAACGTACGAAAAATAATTTACAAGGGTTTTGTTCGTGAAGCCTAATCTAGTAACTTGTGATCTCCGTCGATGGCTTTCAGATGGTATCCCCAGATCTTGGCTCTTTTTTCCGACAAGAACACGCTGGCTGGAATCAAACCAGCTCAGCAGGATCAGTTCTACAACGCTGTAACAGCACTAGTTGCTAATCAGGTGAGAGGATTCTGCAGACGGTAAATACCCACTGCCGTGTCTCGTCACAGGGATTTTCTTGCTGGCTCGCCATCGTCTTATCATTTCTAAGTTTACAAATATTTACTGGCGAGGCAACCGTTTCCTTCACTCAACACGTTCCACGCGAAGATCAGGCCGCCGTGGCGAGGCCTTCGCGTCACCTGCGGCACTCAATGTTTCCGAACACGATTCCATTTGCTTGCCAGGTGAGAGGCATGCTGCAGAGGACTCTCGCCGGCTGGATGTCCCTGTACGCCGGCGCGCTCATCGCTCAGGCACCGCTGCTGCGGTTGCAGCTCGTCTGTGACGAGGGTCGCATGCAGTTCTATCCGTCCTACGCCGACCTAGAGGGCGCCGTCGTCCACGTCGCCGTGCAGATGACGCAGAGCATGCAGCAGGTCAGTGGCGGCCCGGCGCGTTTGTGGTCTATGACTGGAGAATTCGTTCTCGTGGACTTGTTCTCTGTGGCTCGGCGCGTGCCGCGGGGGGAGGGAGGGAGTGGAGGAGTCGACCTCGGGGGTTGTCTGCAGCACTTGTTTTTCGTCATTTTCAGTCGGTGGCTTGCTGCTGGCAGAATGTCTTGAGTCTGTCTCGGCTAGATATTAATGTGTACATGTGTACTCTAGGATCGTGGTGGTGGTGTTGAGGGTGATTTTGAGTTTCAGATGAAATGTTTTGGTGTTGTTTGTCTTCGTTACGTTTGCTTGCGGTTGCTTTCTCTCTCTCTTTCTCTCTTTCTCGCTCTCTCACTCTCTCTCTCCCGCGCTCTCTCTCTCTCTCCTCGCTCTCTTTCTCACTCTGTCACTCTCTCTCTCTCGCTCTCTCTCTCTCTCTCTCCCACGCTCTCTCTCTCTCTCCCTCGCTCTCTTTCTCACTCTGTCACTCTCTCTCTCTCGCTCTCTTTCTCTATCTCTCT